TAGTGGTTTGTTTGAAATACAAAATCTTTTTTATAATCAAGACGTTATAAATGTATAATATATAATAATGTAATGTATGATGGTATAAATACATCTACGAAAATAATTACAAGTTAATAATTACAAAATACTCAGAGTCTGTACTTCAATAAAGTACATTATTATATACACAACTTTTTCTCTACTAATATATTAAAAACGTATATATTTCTATGTATATAAGAGAAAGTCCAATTACAATCACATATTTATATTTGAGTAACTTCATTAGTCCAAGACTTCTAAGCATTCGTTGTGAAGCTATTTCTTTCAGCCTGAATTTGAACCTCAAAAAATGGTACTATTATTTTTGTTATATGTACACTATATCCCATATTTGCTATTGTGCCATTTGTAAAAAGAATCTACTTAAGTGAACTTAATAAACATATGTATGCCTAAAAATATCTCTTCATTAATGAGCCCACACCTCATTTCAAGTCGAAAAGACTTGTTTTCTGGCAATCGCTGGGCAGTAATAATTAAATGTATTGTAGTCTTTTAATTTTATCTTCGGATAATTAATTGATAATTAATATGTGAAATTATGTGAAATCAGTGATTTATCTAATTTATTTAGTCTGCGGACCTATTCAATTTTAAGTAAGTTTTATGAACTGCCTTGGGTAATGAAATTATGCTTTATCTACGTCAAATATAACTCTTTTGTAATTTTAAAAAATTATATTTATTTTTTTTCGAATAGATACATATTTTATATAATTTTCTTTCATTTATTTACTTACTGTTCTTCACTAAAGCAAAGCAACTTAGGAGTATTAGGAGCAATAAACATAGAGGCATGCTGTTCTGTACATAATTTTCATTTATTTCATTAAATATATATTTGTTTATTGCATTGTGTAGTTTTTTTTTAATTATGTTTGATGCTCTGTGCATGTTCTTGTTAGTTCGTGGCATTAACTTGATTGCTCAGTTGTTGTGTTCAATTGCAGTAATTTTTATTGTTGGAACTCTTCTGTGTCGTTGGAGTGGAAATTTTTCTTCTGCGTATATTTTTTCATTTTCATCTTCGCTTTGGCATTGTCTTTATATTGGTTAAATCCTAAGGATGCTTTGTGTATGTCAGCGGCCATTTCGGCAAATCGTGTGTGAAACATCTTGTTGCGATCATGTATGCCTTTTCATGTGTTGCTTGCTTTTTTACGTGCTGCCTTCTGTGTTTTCAACTGCAAGTATGTGTGTAAATACAATTATTTTTATATTATTTTAAATTGTTTTTAATTAAAATTTAAATTAAAATTTTTATAGTTACGCGTTGTATTGTCTCTTCAAAATTTTGATGCGGCTCCACGCGTTTCATTGTACCACAACTCTTCAATTTTTCAGAGGTCTGCAAAAAAATCATGAAAAAAGATTTAAATATAATACAAATAAATTAAATATATAAAATAGATGTAATAGTGTATATAATAAGTCAATATTGTGTTAAACTCAATGAGTTGTGTACTGTTACCAGTGGCGGAGCTAGACCAACTCTGGACGTCGGCGACATCAGAATTGCTGGGCACCCTTTATAACCCAGTTGTAAAAGTAAATAAGTTACATTCACTAATATGTACAACAAAGCATGATTGAATGTTTTATTGCTAATCAAATTAAAATAAACACAAATTAAATGAATTTTCCTACTTTTAGTCTCACTCAATTTTTTTTTAAATTATATCATAATTTACGCCAGCTGCTATTTTCGCTTCAGTTTATAGAATTTCCAATGGAGATAGTCTCTCTTGGATCATCATACTTTTCTAGTACGTCTTAATCAATTTTAACTTGGAGAAGCTTCTTTATGTCGAAGCTATACTGACTGGAACTGTGAACATGAATCTGGTTCCTATATAAACATTCGGAAATACTTCGAATATGGTTAAAGCCATTATCAAACCAAATTGCTTAAAATATTTATTAAGTGCTTAGAATCACAGTCCATTACTTTTTGCGAGGCCCCTGTGATCACGAGGCCGTCGGCGGTCACCGACATCGCTGACGCCTAGACCGCCACTGACTGTTACACAATTATTTAATAGGCTTAAGTAAAATAATTATAATAGTTTGCTTATCAATTCTTTTATTAGAGAACTAGAAATTTATTTTAACTTTAGTTTAATTTTAGACCATGGAAAATAAATTGATAATTATTCAAAGTAACAATATAATTTGAACAAAAACCCATAACAAGTTACTTGGCATGAACAACACACTAATAAATACATATAAATTGTTTTGAAACTCTAGAATTAAGACCACAACAAATGTTGGATAAATGGAATTTATGTTTGGATAGGAAAACATGAAAAAAAGACATATATCACTTAGTCAACATGGATAAAATTAAGTAATAAGTACCTTCATTATTATTCTAATTTCATTATTAATTATTATTAGTTTCTATTAATAATTTACTAATATACAAATTATTATCAGTAACTTTCAGGATCAATTACCAATAATTTCCTTAAAAATTCTAACTAATATTAATATTATTACAATGCAAAACCTTCCTTTAATAGACAGTTCTAACAATACAATGGCTCTCGAAAAGCTGATAATTCAAATGCCAACTAGCATTATTTCTTATATAAAGACATACTTCTGACCAAAGTTTAAAAATTATTTCCTTATGGAATACTACACCAAAGGTAGTTTCTTTGTTAATAAAAGAATAATAATAAAATTTTTATTAAAAATATACTTAGACACTAGGCATCAGTTTCCATTTAGTTTATCAGCAGTCTACGAATAAGTACAGGCTTCTTACCAAAAGCCCAAAATCCATTGAACAGCATCGTGTTAGTGTACATTCTCTGAAAAGCTTTTGCGTTTAATAGGATAATGGGATAATATCTACTTGTTAGACTGTGTACTATATATAAATATATAATATTAATGAATATATATTCTACATATAAAGATATTTAAAATATTCCCTATTCCTTGTTTGAAAAGTCTTAAAGTAATCCAAAAAGCTCATTTGAGTCAATGACTATTGTGTTTTTAGGAGTAGAAGAATTGGCACAGATTAGTAAAGGGTTTTTTAAGAGAACGTAGTAAATAGTAATTACTACCAATTTTTAAAACGGGACTAATAGACATCGACATCAGCTGATTTTGTGAAACGCTCAGCAAAATTTCAGTCTATCTTATCTTCTAAACATTATAGGTATAAAGTGCCTATAATTAATTTATACAATTATGATTTTTTATAATTTGAAACTCTACACCCCAAATATTTAATATATCAATGGAACCTTAACGCAAAAAACAGCTGACAATATTTGCTGGGTGAATTAAATTACCTATAACTCCTTTAACAATGAATTAAACAATTTTATACTTATCTTATCTATTACATTAATAGTTAAAGAATGTGAATGAAATATATCACTGTAGTACATATGCACAGCTACCATAAGCTTTGGTGTATGGTGGCTGAACTTGACGGTTTCATGTCTTTTAATTATTTAATCTTTGATAATGTCACTTATACAATGTTAGGTAGGTGTTTTCATGACCAAAATTCCCCAAACAGTCATATTGTCTACTATCATTTAACACAGTATTTAATACAGAATAACTAACCAGCTAATTGATTTCCTAGGTGCCATATTTGGGGCCTGAAAACTAAGAGGAAGAACAGACTTGTTATATATATAACATATAATATATAATATGTATTATATGTATATGTACATAACATGAAATATTTTTTCTTCTACAGCCTCCATAATTATAGGGCTTAAGCAAATTATCAAAGTTGAAAAATATTCAAAATGCATAATGGCACTAAGTAGACAGACTTCATTCGAATTATAATAAAAGAGCAAGAAGTTATGCTCCTAACACCTGTAACAAAAACCATAAGAGGAACAATAAAAAGTAAAAAGCTTCTCATATCCTAAACAAATATCATCAAATTAAAAAACAAACTTATATTCTATTTATGTTTGTGTAAATGTACTACATTCTCAAATAATAATTTGTTCCTACAATAACAGCCAAAAATAATGAAAAGCGAGATTTCCCCGTAGAAACATTTCCGCAGCAGACCGCATAATGAGCAAATTCCATGCCATTTAAGCGTTTCCTTCTTGAACCGAAAAAAATTTTACAGGCTGTCACCGTTAAAACAACACTGCATCGACTAGGAGCAACAAAATCTCTGTATCAGCAACAGCGACATCAATACAGAAACCAAAAAGAAAAGAAAATTTGCACAAAGTTCTGTCAAAGGACCAAGTGACTGCTGAAATGAAATTGCTTAAAAACGAGTAGGAATAAGAGGACATCAAAAATGAAGTACGAGTAAGAGTAGGTAAAAGTCAAAAAGTTTATAATGCACAAACAAAAAAAAAAAATTTTTTTATATATAAATTAGTTGGCAGTACTTGAAACGGCACTTTCCGGTACTCATTCGCTCAGTTGAAGTCATTTAAAAAAATTGACCACAAAACAAAGTATAAATACAAATACTGATACAACGATAAGGACAAAAATGAGGATGAGCCGGGACAACATGTCAAAAAACAAACAAATATGCCAACAGCAATGAGGTGCGCACCCAGAACTGAAAGAACCGAAATAGTCAAAGGAGGAGCAATAAAAAGTAGCTGAAGCGCAAATTGCGCTTAAATATTAAATGAACAGTCACAATATAAACGAAGAAGGACATTTTCAAAAAAAGTGTTGAAAAAACAACAGATATAGCCCAAACAAAATCATAGCATTCATATTTGTACTACCATCCAATCAGTACCCAATGTGCACAAACCTATTTAAAAATTTCGCAAAGAAAAACAAATTATAAAAAAATCTCAGAAAGGAGTATCAAAACTTTAACAAAACACTTTACGCCTGAAATAATAACAACAACACAATCAGAGCTGAAATCCTCAAGCCATGGTCGTACAACAACATTGTCAGCTAAAGCACATGACTTGTTATGCTCATAAGCTTGCCATATCAGCGTATATCCTTGCGAAACAACAACGTAGCAATAATTTGCGCCCACAAGAGAAATACTTTCTCTGTTAGCAATAAGAGAAAGAAAATGGACAACCGCAAAAGCACACCAAAAGAGTAGAAAAAAAATAGGAAGGACTTCTACCGAAAAAACCGCAAAGCAAATGAAAAAGGTGCAAATGAACACAAATCGCCGGATACGGTTCAGGCGACAACAAAAGCACAGGTAAATGAAAATCATTGACATTCAAACTTTGGGTTAGAGTCCTTTTAGAGTTAATACCAAAACAACAGCAGCAGCAACAATAAAAATACATGTGATAAAAATAGTGAAACAAAGGATATGAATCAAAAATTTATGACTTTTGGCGAAATCTGATATAAAAAATTCAATTTTTTCATAGAGAGGATAAAAATATTATCAACAATAAAAGAAGGGGTAGAGATACTCATGTGAAAAATTTCGTTTAATGTGGTAAAGATTTAATATGTTATCAGTAAAACTGTTAGGCACACTTGGTCTCTATTTCTCTATTTCAACCAATATTTATTCAAGCTGTAGACCGAAATATTTAAATTTAAATATGATATGGAGTAGTTACATTTTATTATATATTATATTATTATATACATATATTTTGTTATATATTATATTATTATATATTATAGTATACCTTCTGCTCAAAAATTACTCGGATTTTGTAAATAAAACACACAAATTTAATTTTTATTCCAAATTTATTTTATATCCTTCAAAATATGCTCCTTCTGAAGCGATACACATAGGCCAACGCTTAACCCAATCTTCCATACACTTTTCGTAGGCCGATGAATGTATGGCTTTTAGTTCCTTCAGCGAATTCTCTTTTACCGATTCAAACGACTCAAAACGCTTACCACGAAGGGGCAATTTGAGTTTCGGGAACAGGAAAAAGTCGCAAGGATCCAGATCTGTCGAATATGGTGCCTTAGCGATGACAGTGGTGCCGTGTTTGGTCAAAAAATCGCGTACAACAAGATTTTTCCATAGTAAAAATTGCTAAATGCATTTGAGGTAGTCTTACATTAACAGCTGCTGTAAACAAACTAATTGATAGATGGCGCTCAAATTTGTACTATATGTCAAGAAACATAACAAAAAAAAACTTTTTGAAAATGGTCAATTATTTAAAGAGTAGTTAACAAACAACCAAATACTTTTTGAGCAGAAGGTATGATAATATAATTCCACATATTCTAGTATTCCACATATTTTTTTAAAACATTAACTAATTGGACAGCATACAACAGAAGAATTGCTATACAAAGAGCAATCCAAAATACACAGGACTCTTTAATCCTGTCTATTTGCTTTGAAACCATTTATTACCAAAGAAGAAGATCCTGACTATACTGTACTGTCAAAAATTCATGACGCTTATTAGAATAATGGTGTAGGAAATTTGGTAGGCTTCCAAGTCAATAAAATGTTTTCCTTTTATTGTACATTTAATAATTTATACATTAAATAATTCTGCCAAATAACTCGCTTATACGCCCAAATCAATCATTTTTTTTATACTGTTATCCGGAGAATGCCATTAATCGGATAGTAAACGAAGCCTCCGAAATTGAAAAATGAAAATTCAAAATAATGCTCTCCCTTTAGTTTTGTCCGAATAATTTAAATAAAAAAAATAACAAGTAATAAATCAGAAGTATGTATTTTATATAAAGAACTGTATATGCATATTAAAATTCTAGTTACTTTCCGTATAATTAAGATGTTTAAGTACCTTCAGCATTAGAAGCAATGTTCTTAGTACTGGCTAATTAAAACTTTGAAGATGCCATAGATGCCAAGACATTAAGCAACTGCTATAAGATAGAAGGAAGGCCGCAAACAATTTCAGTAATGTATTTATATTAAAAATATATTTGCCAGTCCTATATTACTATCAAATGCTCTTCAGTTTTCATTATTCACTTACAATTTTTATACTATACATTAAAATATTAAGAACTGCACTTTATTGAAAATTCTGTATTCAGCGTGGATACGATAAGGAGCGAAAGGGTATGTTGAAAACAGTTAAAATTCTCAGAGTCAAATAGAAAAAGTCACTAAGACCTCATATCCTTCCCAAAAAAAAGGGTAAAGGGTATGTTGAAAACAGTTGAAATTCTCAGAGTCAAATAGAAAAAGTCACTAAGACCTCATATCCTTCCCAAAAAAAAATTTGATTAATGATTTTACATTTATTGTTGAAATTAGAAGTCGTCATATTACAAACTGTGTACTTAGGACTAACTAATTAAAACTTTGATGAGTTGTGGATGTCAAGATATTAAACAACTACTACATTAAAAACTAATTTTCCAGCACTAGGATGAAAATAAAATATAAAGAACTACAAATACTCGTAGTAATACCTTTTCCAAGATGGAAACTATGTTTGCTAAAAACGACAAGAACTGAGAATGTCTTCGAATATATATACATTTGATCAATGTTGCAATATTAAATATAATATTTCAATTCAATATATATATCTCCCAAATAATTTTCTCAGATTTATTTCATAATTTTATTAATTTACTTAATTAAGTGGGACAACACGTAACAAACATGTAATTACTATTTTAGTACTCTTCATAAAACTACTTATTTCGCTTACAGAATAGTCACTTACTTTTAATTGCATTCCTTCCGTTGGACCGAATTCATCACCATTCTGACGCAGACCATTCAGGAAACGTGCAAATACCGTGCGTCTCTTATTTTTATTGCGACCCTCTGAAAGTATATAAAGAAAACGCCAATAGTAAAGACCGAAATTTTACAACTTTAGCTATAAAGTTCGTCTCTTTCAATTTAATAGCCACATTATGCAGTAGAGAAACATCTTGAACGGCACTTACCTGTTGCGGAAAAATCATAAAAGAAATTCGTTCTGGCGCCTGGATAGCTATGTTGCATGCCATTTAGATTTACAGCCGATTTCGAATCAATACCCGTTCTAGCCATGCGTGTTGCCAAATCATTTTGGGTGTAGCTGTAGATTTCATTTTCTTCACGATTCGAGAGGCAACTCGAAGGCTAAAAGATAAAATATAAAAAATAAAACTTAACACAAATTTTCAATAAATAAGAATATAAACGTGTATGACCACAACTGCCAATCACAAAATCAAACTAAAACCGTTAAAATTTAAAACCATCAAATTGCTATTTAAATATTAAATTTCTATTACTCCGTTTGTCAATTGCATTGCCACATGTGTGGTATAACCAAATTTTGTTAACCACTACCGCACTATTTCAGCATTACATGTCTGCTGTCCATCAGCCGCTTACCAAATATTTTCCAGGCACATACAGCGGTTGACTATGACTGGTTGGTAAAATTGATTGATTTACAATATTTCCGCCAATAATGCCAACACCTCCACTCAAACCAACTCCAACTCCAACACTGCCACCAACACCACCACCACCACCTCCACCACCACCACTTCGTCTGCTTAACGTATGTCCGGTTGAAATGCGCATATGACGTTCCTTCCATTTCGATACCCGAACTTCCTCTATTGAATCCAGCACATCTTCATATGGCATATTTATTTGTTTGCTGTAGTGTGCAGCTAATCCTTCCAAATATCCACGTTTGCCTTCCTGCAAGGAACCCATAAAATTAGTGCACATACATGTGAAAATTAAAAATTTTGAAACAAAGTTGCAAAATTTACGATTGCATATTTTAAAGCGTCGTAGAAATGCGAACACCAATACATTTTCAATTAACTGTATTAAGATACTTAGTTTATATTTCAAAGATACTTTAATTGCATCTTGTTTAATTCTACAACAAATAATTTCATATAATTTCTAAAATTTAAATTGAACTTGAAACGTCTATGAAATTGCACAATTGTTGCGAAAGTGTTAATATTTCCCGGTAATTAATGTGGAGTTGCCACTTTAATGTGTCTCGATTGTGTGCTCAGACAAATAAATGCAACTGCAGTCGACACTCTTACACACACAAGAACACAGCAACGGAGAGAAACAATCATTAAATTAAACAACACCTGTGACGTTCTTAGTTTAATTGTGTACTTTTTGTTGCACATATTTAATTCATCCATTATGCCTCAACTTGCAGTGCAGGAAGACGGCGTATATGTGCTAGCTACCAGCACTACGATAAGCAATTAGTCGCGACTATGCAAGCAAGTTAACTAAATTTTGCTTGTGTGGTCGTTGCGCTGTTGGCACCTACATATGTTAAGTAGTTGTATGGTTGGAAGGAAAGGCGGAAGTGTGGACAGACAGAGAATCTCAGATAGCAGTCACTTATAAACGCTCATGAATAATTTTGCATTTTACATATTTTAAACATTTAAACTAAATTTGTCAACTGAAATTAAGTAGGAATATATAACAAGCTAATGTAATGTACTCTTAAAAGCAGACGGTACAGAAGAAAGAGTCAATTAGAATTCACTAGCAATAAAAACAATAGGAAAAGATTTAAAATTTTGGAGACAACGACTTAGAAATATTTTAATATCATTCTCCACAATTGTATACAAGATAGCTAAAATGTAATGCAGAATATAACCATGATTAATAAAATTAGTTCTCATATACTGGATTGACACAACAGTTTTGTTTGTAATTTTAACTGTCAAAAATTTTTATTTTGCAATGATAATTGACAACTGAAATGACAAACATGACAGTTTAAATTACAAAGTGTTAGTATAAGTATTTAAATTTGCAAATCAGTTAAGATTTAATACCAAATGTTAAATTTCATTATTATATTATAATTTATATAGACCACTTTGTAAGTTACTTCCTTTGAAAAAGACGTGTATGCGAATATTCAATCAAAAACCCTTCAATATCTTTAAAACGGTTTAACCAAGTAACTGACACCACATGAGATACCACATATAATAAAATTAATTAATTTAATTGAAAATTTTCGGTGCCAAAAGCATATATAACTTTTTAGATATTACAATAAGGCTCTTTGGCATATATATGGTACTTCGGCGACTGTACAATAAAGACAGTAAATTTTGACAAAAAAATACCGAATTAAATACTGAAACATGAATTATTCCAATATTTCAGTCATTTACCAACCAGTCATTTACCACTTACCAACTTTTAGTTTATTATATGTAGTCTTTCTATTCAAGTTTCAGTAAACTACTTTATATCTTGTTTGTGTCAATGCTATATGTTGAACTAGCCAACTTCTTTTAAAAATTGATTTATTTCATTTTGAGATTAAAATACTACAATAAAGCTCCGATATGGTATGGTAATTAATATACCCAGCCATCATACAGATTTACTAAGTTTATCAAACAAACGAAATAAATAGATAGAAGACAAATATTCATCAAAATTTAACTAATTAGATAATTTATAAAGTTAGTAACTGGAATATTCAAGAATTAAATATAAGAAAGCAAAGATCAAAAATAATGTTATATATCCTGCGGCTGATTAAATATTATACAACATTCATAAGTCAGCGTAAAAAGAATTAAACATGTACTGAAGCACTTCGTACAAGACCATCTAAAACCATTCTAGACTATTTATAAATCTCGTAGTTGCTGTGGACGTTATTTTACCTATTTGATTTGGGACTAAGATCCCGCTTCAAATACAGTCAAGTTTTCATCTTGCAGCCAATGGATAGTTGCTTAAAACATGTTCTGAGGTTTCTTTATCCTCATAACAGAGTCGACAATAATCATTTTCTACCGCACCTATATTCTTCATGTGGTAATTGAGTCTACAGTGTTCTCTAAGAAGTTCAGTGTAGATTAGTTTCTCGATGCTAAAGTATTGAGAAATTGAAAACATTCCCAGACTATCTCTAATTGGAATGCTCGGCTGTTCAAAGAATGCATATTTTGGTACCTTGGGTACCCCTGCGTAGGCGCGCTCTCGCACATAGCTCGAAGGAATGGACTTCGGCCTGAAGAATAGAAGCGATTTTTCCCATTGCGATTGCTCTACACTGCCATTTTGGACCAGTATCAGAATACCATAACTGTGAGTCCTTAGTTATTAACATTGTACTTAAATAATAATAGTAAATGGATCATTCAGCATAGCATCTTAACATATTGGAAAACTATTATTCTAACAAAAAAAAATTATTTTTACAAAATTAAAATTATATTGGGTTTTAGACCAAATTATAAACTTAAGTTCTGTTTTTTAATTATATATGGTCTGAAGACCAAAAAACTATTTTTTATTATTTATTTTTATTATTTATAATTAATTTTTGTATTTCTAGTTTTAATTATTAAGTACTGCAAAAAGAGCACTACTCTACTCGTATCCATAGGAGTCGTTAGCTTCGTCAAACAATAAACCAGATAACTGAATAAATAAGTATATTCGTGCCTTGTCAGCACTTCTGGATAAATAATCTAGAATGTTGCTGACTATTTTTTGCTATGCGCGGTAAAATGTAAACAAATCATAAGATTTGTGTTAAGTGATGCTATGTAATAATCCTCTAACAAAATCAAACCAAGCGGCAACTACAATATAGACACAGATTTCCACTTGTACATGTTTTGCCAACTAATTACGAGCAAAAAAATTAATGAAGAAGTAAAACTTCGCATAATGCCTGAAACTACTTTCGCTAAGTACACTTAAAGCGTCTGGCGTGGACCCACTACAAACACTACAATCTCAGTTTATCTTCAACAGATCAGCAAAATAATAATTTTCAAGATGTCGAACGTGCGTTGTTAACTCAGCTCAGAGTTGCCACATTTTATACAACCAAAAACAAAAAACAAAAAAATAAAAGAAAAAATTGAAATATCCGCACATTAATAGTTGAAGCAGCAACAAATAAGTTTTCGTTAAGTTGCAAGAAAATAGGTTACATAGAAGCAGTAGGAATGCATGCAGGAATGAATCCATGCCACGCCGTCTGCTGCAACACGTTCCAATTGTGTTCAGAGTTTAGTGTGGCTGCATAAGGCGGAAGTTGCTAAAGATGCGACAAGTAAATGCATTTCTGATGAGTTTACTTCCATGAAAAGTTGAAATTGTAAAACAAAAACCATAATCATTTGAGCAAAAAATGTTAAAGTATAAAGTATGCTAGAAGATAATCTGGCAAAGCCTTTAAGCCAACAGGCGGTAAGGTTTATCAGTTAAATAATATTAGAAGTGCTTTATAAGACAAGATTGACTGAGACTGCAGCTCAGCGGAAGTAATACAGTTTTGAGCTGGAAGCGAAATTTGTGAGATATAAAATTAAATTCATTTCTCTGCAACATTTAGAACGAAAATTATGCTCATAAAAAATATATAATTATATAAAAATATTAAATATACATACAAGTTGTGCGTAGAATTTGCGGTCATGCACTAGTGGCACATAAATTATTACAATATTTTTGTTAAAAGGATAGAGCAGAGAGACGTGCCCAAGTACTTGTGGTAAACTGTGAATCCACAAATTTAATTTTTTTCATTTTTTTATACGAATATTATGAAATTGTTAGAAAGTTTGCATTTTACTGTGAGTAAAGAGATTCTTTTCAGCCATTTATGCATCTTAAAACTCATTGCAAATGCTTTGTATCTTACTTAAGCAATCTCACCGCCCGTGGCCCGTTTTCCTAGTTTTCCTACGAGTAAGTGCTTAGAAATTGTCATCAAGCTGCTAAAAACTTTTTGTAATTTTATGCAGTTTCTGATTAATGTTAGAAACCCATTTGTGGCTTCCATATGCGACAAAATTCTCTCTATGCGACTTCTTTTGCTACAAAATTCTAGACTGATTGTGAGTTATGCAAATCGTAACGTATACTTTTTTTAAGCAAACATCAAACATTTATATTTGTTTAGTAACAAAGTTGCTCCTCTCTATTTTAGACAACTTCTTTCAAGCTACCACTATGTCCCGAGCTACATTGTGCCAGGAATACTCATCAAGCTTCCAAACCTCAACTGCTGTTTGGCATTTTCGTACAAGTAAAATTCACATGTTTATGTGTGTGTTCTGTTGGATTTTGTAGTTATGGTTAGTCAAGTATTTTTTCATTTCTATTTGAATTTGTTCTCTGATTTTAAACATTTCGAGTGTACTTTCTAAATACTTTTAATGAGGGAATTTAGGTTGCTAAGCAATTTAACACATGCAATAGAAAGCCAACAATATGGAATAGTAGTTCCTTCAGCCATATTGCTGCCATTAAGCAAAACTGTTACATGTCAGGCAATTATACAAAAATATTTTCAAAAAGTATGAGTATTTACATAGGAGTACGAAATCAGGTCAAGGAATTTAATACATTTTTAATTGATACAACACTTATGCAAATAAACTCAAATTCAGTAAAATTTAAGACAACTCAGCATATGCCAAATATATGTACATTAAGAAATATTTATTTAAGTAATAATAATTGATTAGTAAATTTTGAAAAATTATACCCAATGTAAAACAATCGATGCCGAAAATACACCAGAATGCTATACATGGAATGACAACAATACCTTAGCTTTTTATAGCACACACCTCATCAAAATTATATGACTAAGCTCCTCTTAAAAATCAAATGACGAAAACTAATAAATGAGGTTTCAATTGAGGACAAGCGTAGTTTTTAGTATTTTCAAAATAAAATTATAAATTCCATTAAAAATTAAAATTATAACAAAATACTTGCCAACTAGTAATATATTGTCATATTAAAGTCTAATTGAAGTTTTTCCTTAGCAGTTAAATAGACTATGTCAAGAATACGAGTAAAACTGTTTAAATTCCAAGTGCATAGATTAATACTTTTTGGGTAATTAGCGCTTATAAATTAATAATATTTGTAAAATATATTCGATAATGATAATTAAATAGCTCCAAACTGCAATGTAATAAGAAACGTTCAAATAAGGATTATATACTTTGTTCTTACAAAAAATGGATTTATATCACAAGATGTATGTCATTTTGTAATCCCTTGATATAAACTTCATACCGCCTAACGGGGATTGATCAAATTTATAATTTAAAAACTCAGTGATAATATTCCTGAAATGTTCCTTATTGACGGTAATTGAATATATATAATTTTTAGTTCATAAACAAAACTAAACTCTTAATATTTATAGATGTGAACATGTTTCATGAACAACATCTAAATTTTCTTCACTCAAAAGTATACAATTTTATTTATTTACAGAGCCTGTTGAGCACATATCAATACTTCCAAGATTTTTTTAAGAAATAATAAAACTGATTTCAAAAGTATTGAAGCCAAATTTAAAAAAACTATTAACCATTAATGATTAATGGTTTATTAATGGATATATCAACTCCTAAGTATTTGATTAAATTTGTGGTCCAAGTTTTTGAGAACCATTTCTAATGGGCTGTTCTTGATTTTGACCCTGCATCAATATTTTTACGAAATCGTCTTAAATGTTGACAAATTAGATTCCAAATATTACTAACTCCAGTATTTGAAACAAAATTTTCGTTTTCAATATTAAAACGAATAAATTCATTATTTTTGCCATTTAAAAAATTGTTTACTAACAATTTCAAATGTCAAATTGTATGTATTTGGTATATAATATTGCAAACCCAAAAAAAAAAATGACAGAAATATATTGTCTGTATATAGAAATATTACCTGTTCACCCTGTATAGTGTGATTGAACTAAACGACTATCAAGCATTCATTAATAGGAATAATAGCGCATTCAAAAGCAGGTATTATATTTCATTATATCTCATTATCCTTACTGTATAGTAGTATATGACTACATGCTCTGCACTCTATCTTTAAAAGCAGAAATGTATCATATTGTACACGTAAAGCTCATTAATAATATAGTAGTTCAATTAATTTTATATCATTACTTTTGTACATATTTACTAAGAAATACAACGCATATGCCAGTGGTCAAGAAATAGGTCAAAGGGACAATTCAAAGTATTAATGGCCAAATTGGCATTTCATTAAATTGCTTACAAAAAAGGTTTAAAAATTATAAGTGATTAGTATAAAACTGACATTATTACTTATTTTCAATCTACTCAATAATTTGAACAAATTTTCCCACTACATTATATTTCGATGCATAGTAACTTAGATTTTGTTATATCGGGTTTTAAGATAATGAGCTTTCTAAACTTAAAATTAGCTTCAAAGCTTAATACCCTAAATACTAAAATATATCGACACAGAGTTTATTTTATTTTTATTTTAAAAAATGCTTTAAAGGAAAAAACCCTTTTGTCGCATCATCTTAGAACTAACTTAAAGACTAACAAAAAAAAGAAGTAGATAAATAATATGTACACAATAAATAACAAATACTTCACATAGCTTTTTACCTACATTATGCGCTAATATATAATGGGTTGGATCTTAAGATATCGAGCTTTAAAAATGTCAACTTTTTAAAATTAAGTTCAAAGTCTAATATCTTAAAAACTGAAATATTTGGAGACAAACAACTTTTCCACTACATTATTTGCTAATATATAGTAGATTGACTCTGGAGATATCGGACTTGACAATTTAAAAATTTTTACATCAGCTACCAGTCTTTAAGTCTAATATCCTCAACAGTAAACTTTATCGCTTAGTCAAAATTCGTAACGCCAAGGAAATATATTATTTTATATGTTTAAAAATGCTGATCACAGGAGAATAATTAAAACTATATACTCGTATTTGAAAGAAATTTTTTATATCTTATATAAAATTTTACATGAAAATTGTTTTAAAATATTTAATTGCAATTAAAGTCCATGTTAGGTGGACTTGAAAAAGTAATACTTATCCATTGGCACTTACACTTAAAGTAGAGTGATTATGGAAAACTATTTTTATGAATGTACCTAATGCATTAAATTTAAACTATTTTAAATTTGGGTCTACGGTGTTTTATTAAAAAGCATCAAAATTTAGTTTAGTCTGTAGAATTTTTTAAATTTTTTCTTAGTTCAGTGTAAAACTAACTAAACTTTACCCTACTCTGCTTATATTTCAAACCACTTTATTTTAAACCATTTTTCATACAATTTCATTTAATATATAGCACAATTCCTTTCAATTCCCCAAAGGTCTTAAGAAAAATAGATATGTGCACCAACTAACCCAATGAAGTGGGCAGTTATAAATGAAAGAGTTATGTGCATGCCTTACAATTTTTTACAATTCGTACAATTTTTTAACGAATAGCACACACCACTTGACCACAACAGTACTATACGTACTCGTATTTATATACTATATGTGAAGTTTCACAATTTATAAAAAGAGCATAACATCCCCAATGGCGCAGCACGATCACGACCAGCAGCTCCGGAAGTCATGGTGCCACCATTGCAATCAGTACACAAAAAATAAATGACGTTCAAGAAGCCATTGTGGTTAAGGTTTAAATAGTGAATAAATGAAACTCTGTGTTAATATTTTTATCGCAGATGTATACACAGAGCACACTGGCACACATACCCAAACCTGCGCTCGTGGCATCGACAAAAGTACTCTGCAATTCCAAGCCAAATTAGCACGTCAAATGCACTGTGCACACACGAAACTTATTGATTCCCTGGGAATGAATGAACAGAAATTTATTGTCTTTATAGCAAAACAGTCAGACAGAAATTGCACTTTAAATGCTCACCAAGCATACTTTACAGAAAATATGCAAAAAATATTTATATATATGCGAATGTATATTGAAGGATACTGGCAGCTAGCCATACCACAATCTGCCAGCGTACCCAACGGTACTGCTATGGCAAGAAAATGCATGAAACTGCCACATTTGACCCACATTGTAAATATTTAGCGGTCTTACTTTTCGTTGCATTCCTTACTTTGGTAGACAATAATTGAGTTACAATATCTACCTATACTATACTCACCGGTGTTGAATAAGGATGCGCTGTTAAACGTATGCCATCCGCTTCGAGATGTCGCTTCATCACAGCTTGTAGTTCCTTCATTGTGGTGGGTGTATCACATTCTGAGCTTAATATTTCATTGCTATTACTTAAGGCCTTTGGATCATTGATCATCACGTAAACAATTGCCGCACCTTTCTCCCTTAGCGTCCGTACACTTTTCAGTAGTTTACTGCGGTGCTGTGCATTGTCCACCCCGATTGCATCTAAATCGATTTCTCCGATTTGCTTGCATATTTCTAATTCATCATAACCATTCTCCATGAAACTTTCCGCATATTGACTGAGTCCAATGGCGCGTAGCCATTCACAGACAATGTTGTTGTGCGGCATGTTTTCGTATCACGTGGCTATCGGTGCGCTAGGCGGTAACTCAATGTCGAGTGGTGCGAAACTCACTTTTGGCACTTTAATAGCGGGCTTTATTTTCGTTTGTCCTGTGGTATTCGTTGCAGTTGCTGCTAAAAAGGATATTGCGGCTTCCGATTTGGATGATGCTGTTTTCGCAACTGCTGTATTGGGCGTTGAGCTGGAACTAGAGCTGCTAATACTTGAATTTGTTGCTGCTGTATGAGCTGAACTACTACTGTTGGTTGTTGCCTTCATAGCATCGAATTTGAATTTTGGTAAGTAAATGTCTCGGTTTCGCTTAATGCATTTACTTCGATTGCTGCAATTAAATGAGAAACTGAATTATTTATAGGTTTTATCTATCGTAAGTGCATTTAAATTTATTTGCAATTCATAATTATATAAAAATTGTAATATTTTAAAGGAAATTTGGTAGACAACCACTATGAAATAATTTTAATCGTTAAAAATAATGTTTTTTTAAATTATAAAATATTTAATAATTTATTGTTTTTATAACCAAATATTTTTTTATAATAATTTTGTTTTTTAAACCGATTAATTGGTTAATAGTTAAATATTACACTTTTTAAATAAACTTTTCTCTGGAAAAGACTATAGAATATAGTCGAAATATAGGTTAAAATAAAGCCTTTCAAAAAAAAAAATTTTTTTTTAAATGCCATATTGTTAAACTATTGAGCAATTAGCCCGTTTAGAAACAAAATTATTAATAAAATTATAAAAATAGAGCACCAAAAATTTTTGGTGAGGATTCATCCTTGAAATCATGTATACACAAATTCGAAGAAAGTACTTGAAAGAGTGGCAAGATTTTTGATATATCTATAGCACATAAATAGTATAATGAACATATTTTTAAAGTAATTTTTATACAACTATTTATTACGATCTGTCAAAAGTGCTCAGTCTGTATAACTTAAAGTTATAGGTTATGTGGAAGAACAAGATAACGTCAAAAGAGAATTTCAAACAAGAAATTGGTTTCAACAGTAGTTCAAAAGGATATTGGTATATTACACATTACCACTTTAAAACGAGATAATTAATTTTGTGATTGTAATAGTTAAATTTGCAACTGTGTATCCTTTAAACATATTATGCAATTCAGAAAACCATCCATTATCATTTCTCTTGAAATCTCTAAATTGTATACTATGTTTTATTTAGCAGACATTCAATCTCAGCAGAAGATAAACTATAAATTCTTTGAAATATATTTGATTTTGAACACCATTTATATTTAAAAATATAAGATTAAGTTATTTTATCTGAAGAAGAGTATGAGGTCACTCAGATATCAAAATATATATTCATATAGCAGCATACAACTGTTTCAGTCAGTTTACAGTTTTTTATAAACAGTTTTACTTTAATTTGTTAATAGCTGCATGTTAATATAGCAGTCATAAGCAGTTTTCAAAAGGAATGAGCCTTTATTTATGAATGACTATCTATAAGTATTTGTCGTATATATCAACCACTCATCTCTGATTGTAGTATAAGTTTATTCACAACATAGAAAATAGTTTGCATCCGAAAGAAGTTCCACAGACGCTATATTCCGTATAATCCAAGTGCGTTCAACTGCGGTAGTGTGTCCCTCCTCTAAAAAATGGAATTGTGATTGTTGAAAGGTGAATTTTGCTTAAAAGATGACATTCTTTTAGCATTTGAAAAGCAGGGACGGTAAACATTACCAACTTTCTATAATAATCGCAGTGTTCAGCTACATAGAAGAACGTACCCATTTATTTTCTATTCTATTTAATATGTCTAAATTTAGTTATAGACGTTTTTTAAATCACTAAACTCTTTGAAACCACCACTTTTGATGGCATAGATCTTATCTTAAAGTTCATCAATGACATAACATATTCATAAACTAAGTTATATATAATTCTAATAAATACTTTTATAATATATAAGCTGGTATAACTACGGATCTAAATGAATTGAAGAGTTTTCCATAAACATATATTTACATGAAAATTTTTATCAATTTGTATGTCAAAAAATAAATTATTAAATAACTCCCAACAAGCAAAAACAATTGATTCTTTGGCAATTCAGAAAATCCTTTTGCCTTCCAAATGCATTTCGTCATCAAATATAATTATATAACCGAACAATTAAAGTCATTGATAATAAAATTTCCATATAAAATTCAAAAGAGTTATCAGAGCATAAAAGACATTTTAATGTCGATTTAAAAACAGGAAAAATTTAAAATAATTGAATTTACAAAATTATAACAAAACCAAATTGTCTATTGTTTCAAACGTCAAACAACAGTTTTTCAAGGATTGTCAAACAAAAATATTCTTGAAAATATCCTGCAAGAATAAAATCTTTATCAAATCAAAATTTTATGCATATTTTCACTAAACATGAAGATACTTAATGTTGAAATTGCCTATCTGCATACTTACTTTTCTATGCATTTGTATTTTTCTATTATTTGTCATTTATGTAAAGCGCATGAAAGGATTCATTTATAACTGGCTTAATACAGGAAAAAGGATATCAATTTGTGTTAATGTCAGTACAGCACACTGCATGAGACAAACAAGTGACCATAGTTGCTCTGACCAACAGCAACATCATCACAAACGACCATTAATATTTTTCTTCTATTATTGGTCGGTCTAAGGACAACTAAAATGTTACACAAACAAAAAGTTTATATATACATATATATATATATATATTGTATATTCAAATATGGATTGAGCAATGGCTTGGAGCATGTTGTGTGACCACTTGCATATGAATAAGCCACTTAAAATGACAGATGTACTTGTCAACTACAACAAAAACAAATATTATGAAAATGCAAAATACTTAAACCAAATCCTACTTAGAGTTCTGTGTGGATCCAACTACAATCAGCATAGATGTAAGAGAATATAAATATACATAACGAGACAATGCATAAAATCGACCTAAATAATATTTATTCGTTGAGTTGTCTGCCCATTTCTGTTGGATTTGTGCACATACGCAAGGATGTGCTGAGAGGGACTCAATTCTGTGTGATGTTCTATTTAATATATGTACTTGAAATACGTATACATTATAATAAATAAACAAGTGGCGAAATCGGAACATAAAGGACACTTCAAATCAAGTGTGAATATTAAATGTCTCAGTCAAATTAAGCTAAGATAACTGACAAGGATTTTACCGGCATACTTAAGTAAAACAAATTGGAAATAATAATAGCTAGAAGATAGTTTTAATTGTGAAGAGGAAAAATTATTTTTAGTGAAATACAGTCACATTCGAATAATATTTTTTTTATTCTAATTTCCATTATAAATAACTCTAACATCATCTTAGTACAAATCATCTTAGGGATATACAAATAAAATATAACAATTAAATATTAGTTTATTTTGTTGAAGCTGTTTTGAGCTAGTGCACATAAGCACTTATACTCTTTTTTAACTCGAGGTATTTTCAAAACCCCTCTTTACACTTTAACTGGATTATTGTTTATCACTTCGTCAGACTAAGCAATAATTGACCTGAGATCTGCATACCTCCCCGAGGAGCCTGTAACCATTTTGAGATTTGATAACGCGGCGTTGGTAAATCTGTTAGTTTTCGCAAATAATTTCAGGGCTCTATGCTTTATGTATTTTTTGATGGAATCAATCTTGATGTCCTTGAGGATGTCATTCGTTCTAATGTACCATGGAATTTTGAAAACTCTTCTCAGAGCCTGGCTTTATGCAATTTCTAACTGGTGAATAGTAGTGGTTGAAGCTATGCTAAACGCTATACAACCATATAGAAGTGACGGACGAATTATTTGGTTATATATCAGTTTCCTGTTCTTAGCATAGAGATTTTCGTTTCTGATAAGCGGTTAGAGGTGATGAAGAATTTTAGCACAGCTAATTCTTTTCAGTTAAACATGTTTAAGCCATCTGAATCGTTTGTCCAACGTGATGCTGAGATATTTAACGCTATCCTCCCAGTTTATCACCATATCACCCACTTAGTACAAATCATCTTAGGGACGTACAAATAAAATATAACAATTAAATATAAGTTTAGTTTTGTTGAATTTTTAATATCCATCAATGTGCATTATTTTGTAATTTGTTATGTCCAATTTTTTTATATTTTTCATTGATTATTTACTACTTAATCCTTTAGTTGAGCCTAACAACTCGTTTATGGGTTTCGACTTGGTCTAGCACATCTCTCTAAAAAAGTCTTTTCAATCTTTTCAGTACACTGACTTAAGTATATTTTTATGTATATTTTTTTATCCTTTAATATGACGTATAGATATTTTTATATACATATCAGGACATCTTTGGCTGTGTATTAAACTAGTTGTACTACTCATAAACAATCAGTTTTATCTTTTTATCAGCGCACATGTCGCTATACCCGATATCACCTTTAAAAAATTCTTTTGAAGTCCTAATTGCATCCAAATTAATGCTGTTCATATTATACGGATATTTTAAAAACCGAAGTGGTTCGATTATTCGATTAATCGGATAGCCATGTAGTCTCCTGAATTGAATAAAAATCTGTTTTTTTGTAAATTTGGGGTCTTCGAATATCCGGATTTGTAAATATTATTCGCAGTGATATTATTCGGAGCAAAAGTAAAGGGAGAAAACAATTATCCTCTAAAAACAAATCTTTTATAAAATTCTGGGTACCGCTTCATTATATGTATATGGTACATGTGATGTTGAACACTATGTGAGTTATCGAGACAATTCAACTAATCTTAACAATTGCAAGATCGATATTGCTGCCTTTGAAATGCATTCATAATGCCGCAAAGAACTTTACTGATATCTTAACATATTATTGTACAAACAATATTATACAAACAAACCTTGAAATCTTAGGAGAAGTCGACTACATGTATTCATTTGTTAACAAATAGATACCACTTTAATAAGCAAAAATTTAACAATCTCATTAAGATACTTTTTGTGGTGGTCTCAAAGCAAATTTGCTATTGTTTCAGTGTAAATTAAAAAAATATGCCGATTAAATATTCCCTTCAAGTATCTCTGCTATATCTGCTTCGAAATAAAAGAAAATACTTTATATCAGCTTTATTAATATTTAATAAATGCTAAATTTAGAATAAATATGTTCTATTCTGCAGAGATTTTTTATCAGTTGCAAGTCCTATCCTTTAAAAATGACTTAAACATAAACATAAAGTTCAAAATAGTTTAGAACTCTGGAACCCAAAATAGCTGCTTTAGAAACGTAGCCTTATATAACAGTCGAAAATTTGACATATAGATATAT